TTCCCAGAGATATGTGATGTGGTTCCCCCCAAATTATTCATTCTTTGGCTGCATTAATAGAAATAAAACATCTAGAATAGGAGTGGAAATTATCCTGTTCTCCTCTGCACCAGGCAGTCCACGTTGGGGTACTGCATTTCATTCTGGGTGTCAGAAACAAGAGGGAAATGTGTAAGCATAACCAAGATCACAAATGGATTCACACCTGTGGCCTGTGAAGGGTGGGGGAGGGAATGCAGAAACTTAACCTGAAGATGGGAACATGCTGAGGTCATATGACAGCCATCTTCAAATATTTAAAAGGCTATAATGTAAGAAAAGAATTTGTTCTGCGTGACTCCGGGCTATAAAGTCAAGACTCCTTGATGGAAGCTCTAGAAAGATTTTGGGTCAGTATCGGAAAGTGCTTTCTAACAGAGCAGGTCTGGTTGATGGAGCTGCTCTGGGAACGGTGCATCCCCTTTGTTGGAGCTAGTCAAGGAAAATAGGCAACTCCTTGCTAGGAATGTTATGAGGGGAACAGGAGGTTGGATTAAATGCTCTTTCAGATCTCTTCCAGCCTGAGCTCATTCCCCAATAGTCTTGGCTTCCTTCACAGTTGCTTCTTTGGTCCAGACCTGCTGTTTGTATCTCCTCTACGTGGTATGCATGTCCTTGCTCTCAATCGTGATGTTGAGTGTTGCGGTTTGGAATTCGGCTCCACCAAGTCTTTCTTTCCAGTTGGCTATTTTCAGAAGCAAGGCTTGAGTAACATAAAATATGAAGTGACAGGCTGAAAGAGAGAAAGAAATGGTTGCCCCAGGAAGCATCAGATTAAGCAAATGCACAGGTATAGAGCCAATGGAGCTATTTCTCTAGGAATGATCATGGGGATAAGAATCTGGAAGGAAGAGCTAAGACCAGAGAACAAATAGAAGGAGAAAGCATAGGCAGGATATAGGTTCCATCAAATTAGGTCCAAGGACAGCACAGGGTCCTAGACACCAAGGGGAACAGAACACAAGGAACAAGATTAATGAAACAGACACATGGTTAGAAAGTCAGTGGAAATTTAAGGACCTGGTCTTGGTAAGATGGCAAAACTTCAAGTGTCTGAACCTATCCAAGCAGAGTCCTGGGTGGGAAGGCAACTGGCAGAAGATCAAAGAGGCAATGAGTTCAAACATCCAGAAAGAAAGTGGTGGTGGAAATTCAAAGGGGTGCAGAGTAAATATGCAACATCAAATGCAAGAACCTGATCCCCAAAGGCTCGGGAAACCTGCACCAGACATCAACAAGATAGAAAGCCAGTCATTGAAACATGGCTCCTAAGGATCCGAAGTCCAGCTCTTGAAAGGCTGAGTCATGGGGTCAGCGTGTGCCCAATAAGAAGTCTAATTTGATGCTGAAATATTGAAACCCAATAAATCCCTCTGTGTAGTGTTTCGCAGAGTGACTATTGCACTAAGAAGATGGAGCTGAGATGATCTGGCAAGTGCTGTGTGGTACACCAGCCAGGAAGAGTCGAGGCAAGAAGTAGCCGGGACCTAGGTTCCCAGATTACCAGGGTAAACTGTCCCTGACAGCTCAAAGGCCTGATAGAACCAGCATTTGTCGCTGCCTCTTCTCAGGTTCTTGAACAATTAGGGAAATTACCATCATAAATGTAAAAGATAATGACAGGCGCCTTCTTTGTTTCCATGACTTTCTTTTCCAGTTTGGGAATTACTTGTACAGGTAGAGAAAATATAATGGGTGTTTCACAGACAATTCTTGGTTTCTTTGTCAACATCTCTCTGCTTCATTTTCCTCTCCCTTGGTTAAGGAAGTGCTCTGCCACAGAGTTCAAAAAAGTAACTAGAAACTCTCTCTTTTAACTGGTGAAGAGTAGCTCACTGTCTGAAAACCAAACTACCTTTTTAGGGAGAAATATCTTCACCTATTTCTGAATTTTGGAGGTGAGGCCTTTGGGAGGCAATTAGGTTTAGATGAGGTCATGAGGGTGGGGCCCCCATGATGGGATTAGTGCTCTTGTAAGAAGAGACACCAGAGCTTCCTCTCTCTCCACGTGAGGACGCAGTGAGAGGCAGCCTTCTGCAAGCTAGGAAGAGGGCCCTCACCAAGAACCGAATCTGTCAGCACCTTGATCTTGGACTTCCCAGCCTCCAGAACTGTGAAAAATAAATACCTGTTGTTTAAGCCACACAGTCTGTAGTATTTTGTTATGGCAGCCAGAGCAGACTAATATACATATACTGCTGGCAGATACTTATCTTAGCCCCCAGAGAAGCTTATCAAAGAAAAGATGACAGTAGGTAGCCCTGCCTGACAGAGACAAGTCTAATCAAATTCTGTAGGTGGACGGAAATGTGCTCAGATATGAAGTCCCAGCTGTGTAAAGTTGCCTTGCAGTCCCACCACTGCCCTCGCCTAACTCCTTGGCCTGTCTAGAGAAAAGTCTTGTGGGGTGAACCTTACTGGTGATTAGCAGGAAAGATTGTGGGTGAGCAAGTATTACGGACTGAATTTTGTCCCCCCAGGATTCACATGTTGAACTCCTAACCCCCAGTGTGACTGTACTGGGACATACAGCCTTTAGGAGGGAATTAAGGTTAAATGAGGTCATAGGGTGGTCCCTAATCCAATAGGGCTGGTGTCCTTATACGAAGAGGAAGAGACACCAGGGATGCGTGCACATGAAGAAAAGGACATGTGTGGAAACAGCAAGAAAGAAGGCGGCTGTCTGCAAGCCAAGGAGAGGGCCCGCAGGAGAAACCAAACCTGCCGACGCCTGTTCTCCAACTTCCAGCCTCCAGAACTGTGAGAAAATAAGCGTCTGTTGTTTAAGCCACCCAGTCTGTGGTATTTTGTTCTGGCAGCTCCCACCAACTAAGATAGGGGTCAGGGTCCTTTACCCATGAGCACTGTGGACACACAAAAGCTTTTAAAACGCTCCAAGACCTGAACAAAGAAAATATATGGGCTCGAAAATGAAAACTCCAAAATCAAAATGAATTAATATATAATTAAATGTTTACAAAACAATGAGTGAGTGTTGACTCAGTTATTTCCTAGATAATTTATTCTTAACAGAATTCAAAATGATAAAAGAAAAACTTTTAAAAATTATAGAAAAAAATAAACATTGAATGTGGGGTGGATTTTAATATGTTTGACATGATAGGAGGTAAGGGTCTCCAAAAGTAGGGGTGCCCAGAGGCTACCGGGGGCCCAGAGAAGGCCAAAATCTGCTGGGCATCCATTCCTTCACATCAGTTTATAAAACTGAGCTGCTTCCTCAAGACAACTGATTTTCATCCAGGACAGGAAACTCCCCCAAAAGGCCAGCCAGATTATTTTACTCTATCCACACAAGGGTAAGGTGAGTGACAGCTGACCTACTCAGATCTGCATTGCTTCAGATCAGTGACCCAGCTTGGTATTCAGCACTTACCAAACTCCTCCACTAGGGGCAGTGCAGAGTAAAAACACCTTCTGCTCTCTCCGGAGGGTCCTGACTCTTGGAGATGAAGTCTGAGGTGACCAAGTGAAATTTTCTTTGAAAAGTAGGGTTTTATCTTAGAGTATCTCATTTTCTTCCCCATAATATGTCTATGCTTATTTTAATATAAAAGTAATTTTTAAAACTATTTACTGTTGAGAAAATTTGACATTCCCAGAAGATTGGCCATGTTTGTTTTACTATTCATCCCATCACAGACCTCAGGGGTGTGGTATCACAGTCTGAGAAATATGGATGTATAGGAACACCCAAACCCTGCCCCCATAATTCCACCTAACCCCCACAATCACCTTTACCTAGCCAGATGACATCATGCTATTTGCCTTGCCTGCCAATCAGAAGGCCTCCATCTTTTTATTCAACCATACATTTATTCAGCCTTCCTCTCTAATCCCCAAATATACCCATCCCTGGCCTGCCTCCCATGGTGCTCATATTGTCCCCAATCCAGGAGTGCCCTCCACATCTCCCCTTCAATCCGAATACCACCCATTTAATAGGGTCCAGTTGAAGTCCACCTTCTTCCACTGTAGTCATCCTCTGACTACTTCATCATAGAATCATCTTTCCTGTCTCCAAAATGTTAAGGTATTTTAGTCTGAACCACATGTCTAGCATGATACAAGCAATTTCCCACAGTCAGTGCTGATGAGGTTCACAGGACCAGGCGGGATGGATTGACTTGCTCCCAGAGGGGCTGGGTAAACCATCTCTGGCGGGCTGCAGGGCGAAGTATTAAAGGGTTCGCTCTGACTCCTGATAGACAGAATTATAATTTGCAATTTACAACTGCCTCCTATTTTGCTCTTATTATTTCGTAGACATACAACTTGTCTCCCAAACTAGACTCTAAGCCTCTATATGGCATTAGCCATGTTCTTTACTTTTTTCTTTTTATCCTGGCAGAAAAGGCTCCCGAGCAGGACAAGTAGTAAGTGGCTAATTAATTCTTCTTTTCCTCTGTGACGTAGTGATGCATCTAACTCAGCTTCCGGCTCTGCTTAAGGAACCTCACCCTCTGTTCTTTTTGTTCTCGCCAATTACCATCTCTCCCCTAACTCCTAATTCCTTAGGTCAGAAAATATTGGGAAATATAAGATACAGACTTTTTCATGGGAAAGTGCACAAAGAGGCCCAGGATCACTCTCTGAGAACCCAGACTGTATGAGGTCCCTAATCTTACTCTCAACCATCTGCGCTTGTCCTCCACGGGCTTTGTCACAGTTCGTAGTTAGGTGTTTGTGTATTGTGATGGTATTGTACAATTGTCTGCCTATTCTGCTCACCAGATTGTAAGCGCTCTGAGGGCAAGGAAGGACCGTGTGGCTGTTTTGCCCTGCATGGTATCCTAAGCACAGCATAAAGCCTGGTACATATAGGTGCTTAATACTCTTGTTGAATGAGTGAAAGAATGAATGGGGAGTCCAGATAAGGTGTTGCAGCAGGTTTTTGCATTCTTGTTCCTCCAATTTAAAAAAAGATCTCCTGGCTCTTTCAGACGACAAAAGGTGTACAAGGAGCAGCTGAACCTCACTTCTTTGGACCACCCACTGCATCTCCAATTAGAGGCCAGCTGGGTCCAGTTCCACCTGGGGATCAACCGCCACGGGCTGTACTCCCGGTCCAGTCCTGTCGTCAACAAACTCCTCCACGACATGAGTCACTTTCCCACCATCAGCGCTGGTGAGGTTCACAAGACCAGGCAGCATGGATTGACTTTCTCCCAGAGAGGCTGGGTAAACCAGCGCTGGCCAGGCTGCAGGGTGAAATATTAAACGGTTCACTCTGACTCCTGATAGACAGAATAATAAGAAGAAACATATAGACATTGACATTTTTCCCTTTGAAAGAGATCTTACAACCATCATCTTATCATAACCCCATAAGGGAGGCATAAGGAGGTGTTCTGTACCCTGAAAGAAAGGTGATGGCTACCGTTTATCAAGTGCTTCTTATGAACCTGGCAACTCTCTCTTATACAATGATCTTATGACGTGGACATTATCATTGCCATTTCACAGACGGGAAAACTGAGACTCAGACAGGTTAAGCAACTTGGCCAAGGACCCAGTGGTGGAGCTGGGATTCAAACACAGGCCTGCTGTCTCCAGGTCTGTGCTGTCAAGCACTGTGACAGTCTAAGTGACACCGCACATTATTAGCAGAGACAAAACTAGCATTGGTTTCCCAAGCTGGTGCTGTTGGAGTGTCCGTTGAAGGGCTAGAGAGCATGGGGCCTGGGTGGAGGCTCCGGGAGATCCCCTGTTGAGTGGTCAAGGGCCCCCATGTTGTTGGCTCTTCCAGGAGCACGGCTGGACGTCCTCACTGTCCTTCTCCTCCTCCGCAGATTACAGTCAGGACGAGAAAGCCTTGCTTGGGGCGTGTGACTGCAGCCAGAGTAAGTGGCCTGGCCTCGCCTCCATCCAGCCCTCCACCATCACAGCTGTGTGAACCCCAGGACGTGGCAGCAACGTGAAGGACCCACTGTCCACTCCCTCAGGGGCCTGGTCAGGAGTTGAAGGAACAGCTCTCTGTCTAATCTCTGAGAACATTTCTCCCCACCTGCCCACACACAAGGAAAGGCATTTATGCGAGCTCTTGTGTAGGACCCTGCTGGTCAGCGTGTGGTCCTGGGGCCAGCATCATTGACATCATTGAGGAGCTTGTTGGAAATGCAGAATCTCAGTCCCCACTCTGATTTTCTCAATCAGAATCTGGATTTTAACAAAATCCTCAAGAGACTGGAGTCCATTTTCAAATGTAAGAAGCAATTGTACAGCACAGGAGTTCTCAACCCAGCGACACACTGGAGTCACCTGAAGAGCTTTAGTAAGTGCTGAGGCCTGGCCTCCACCCCAGGGGCGTCTGCTCCAATTGCACAGAGTGAGGCCCAGGCATCAGCATTTTTTAAACGCTCCAGGTGATTCTCATGCAGTCAAGGTTGAGCCCCACTGGGGTAAATGATTCACAGAATCAAAAAGACAGACATGAGATACAGCACAGTCCCCTCCCAAGGTGCTGTGAATTGGGCACAGTTGTGCCTGGACACTGTACTGGACCCAGATCTCAGAGTGGCCAAGTCAGGCCCGGACACTGAAGCCCCCAGGCCAGTCACCACTGACCAAGAGTAATGTCATCCATGTCCCTCAATATACTGAACACACATCAGAAACTTCTGTGTGTGTCATGACATGTTAAAGGTTTGAAAGACAAGGTCTGTAGGGCCCGAGGCTTCCCTTTTATTTAGTTTAACTCCTGTGATTTGCCATTTTATAGACCACAAAGGTGAATGAGGCATTGTCCCGACCCTCACAGAGTGTACAGCAGGGCCAGGACAGGGTGAGGCGAGTGACGTGCCCGGGACACGACATGTCGGGGGCAGCACTCACCATCAGGGTCGTGTGGATGCACTCAGGTGCCTTGTCCACCAAGCCCCGTCCCAGCCCAGGTGTATAGTCAGAACTAGAAAGAGATGTAGATAAACAAACTAGTCTAATGCAAGATAACCGATGGCATAATCAGAATCTACATGGGTGCCATTGACACACAGAGGGGAAGAGGTCGGCCCTCCTTAGGGAAACATTCTTTGGGGTTTTCAGTGAGTGTCGATCTGAGAAAACCTGCGTTGTTTGCCCTTTCCCATAACGGCAGAAAAAGTATCATCTTGAGCCCCGGGACACACTCTCCATGGTCTGACACAATGGAATTTACCCTGCAGGCTTGGAGGGCAAATCCTAGTCTTTAGGGTCTTATTAAATAAGAGCAAAGAGAAGAAATCGACTGGTTTATTGAATGAACAAAAGGTCACAGCCCTGAGCTCAGGCCCAGAAACACGGTTAACTCCCCCTTCTCCCCCCACAGTTGTGAAACCCAGTGGGGTCCACCTCAAGCTGGTTCTGCGGTTCTCGGACTTCGGGAAGGCCATGTTCAAACCCATGAGGTAAGTGACTGCCTTCCTCACCTCCACGCCCGGCTGTGGCAGCCCCTGGGGAGTTTTGACCAAAAATTAGTCAAAGTGGATCTCAAATCTTCAGGCCAGTCATTTGGAGAGTCTTTTGGGCAATCTCTTTCTGATGACAATAATTAAAAACAGTAAAAGCTAGTCTTTATCAGGTCTTTGCCGGTATCTGTGCTACACACTTTACATGATTGTGTCTTTGGATCATCAGCAATCTTATGAGCCAGGTACTGTGACAGTGTCCACTTTAAAGCTGAAGACGGAGTCCTAGAGAGGCCAGCTTGCCCCAGTCTCCCACTGCAAGCAGTGGAGCCAGGGTTCACACCCAGGCAGCTGGATTGTTAAATTCACACTCTACCTCTATAGTTGAGCTCCACTTTTTTCCAGGGCTAGGACCCTCTAAAAGTTTACAGATCTCTACATCATAATGCTTGTTTTGATTGAAAAACTAGACAATGAAGAAAGGCATTATGAAGTCAATGACACTTTTAAATTATTTTCTGTTTTCGTAACAACAGCAAATACATGCTTTTCAAAACTTTGTAGTACATATATGTGGGTGAAATAATTTGTATTCAGTCTACAGACAGAGCTTCATGTGCATATGGATTTCTGACCCCTAAAGGGTGTGCAGCCCATGGGTTGGGGACTCCAAATGTTCCTCTTGAAGATGACATGCACAAGAGAAAATGGCCCAAGAGGGGTTCCCCTTAACCAAGTGATGCTTTCCGCCAGAATGCACTGTGTTCCAGTGGAGTCCAATTAGATTGACTTAGAGTCCAAACCTTTAGTCAGTTGAGAGGGCTATTGAAGGCCCAGTAATAGGTCTGGTGGGGGGGCACAGTCTTAGTTCTAGTCCCAGCACTACTTTGGCAAAGGCACCCCTTTAAGGCAAGCTTTGGAATAGATCAGCTCCACGTTGCAGCCATTTGGGGAGCCTTAAAAAATCCTGATGCCTGAGTTCCGCCCTCAGGGGGTCCAAGAGGATTACTCTGGGGGCTCCCCCTATGATCCCAAGGCCCAGACAAACTTGGGAACTGCTGCTATATACGAGCCCCCGTTTTCCCATGTGAAAATCCAAAACCCTAGTTATTCGGTCAATTTAAATGTATAACTTTTCAGAGATGTACATGAAAGAAGTGAACGTCTGCCTATATTTAATTTATTGATGAAAAAGTCCCATCACATAAAACAATACATAAATTTGGGAATATTGCTTTCTTCCCCCAGTCTCACATTTCAACTGTCCAAAATTTTTGCTATTTTTCGTCATCATCACTAGAGCCAAGTTTACAGTCAATGTTAAATCAATGTTAAATCCTGTCCCCATCACCACCACCGGTCTGTTTTAACCGGTTCTGTCGGATAATAAAACCAGCACAGTATGAAGGCATCTCAGGTGAATAAATCAGTCCCAAACAAAATAAAGAAATTGCAAGGAGACCATGTCATTTGAGAGACTAGGCAAGGACTTAAATATGAAGAATCTCCCTTTTCTGAGGGAAAGTTTTGGGATGGGGTCTTATATTCAGGCATGTAAAGTACTAAAAAAAAAAAGAAAAATTGAGTTCCTTTTAAAAGAGAAAGAGCAGAGCGCACACATGGCAATTAACCAAGGTTCCAGAAGCAGGCACGTGCTTCTTTGGCACACCAGTCAGCTGAACACATGAGCCACTGTCGAGTTCCGCCCATTAAATCATTGTTATAGTCAGTCATGCACGTTTAATGCCCACTCATAAGTGAGCTCCGGTTAAAGAGAGGAAGCAGAAGGAACACTGATGTAGAAACACGAGATGTTCAAGGGAGGCAGAAAAATCATGATAAATCTGCAGATTCACCATACATCCCCAGATCCCTGAATTACATTCTCTGAGCCAAATTCTTATATGGCACATTAGGCTGCCTGCAGTTTTTTAAAACTGGAAGCTGATATAGAGTGGGTGAGCTCTGCTTTCACTTTTCATGCATGGGTAGGAAAAAACTACTCCGGCTTGCAATGTTTTATCTGCAGGAAATCACGGGAAGCACCAGCCTTACTCTTCTCTGCCTTGTTGATTACAAAATACAAAGACTGTTCAAATGAACCAGTTTCCTTCCTGATAATGCAGAAGTTTCCAACATCAGGTCACAAAAGTCATTTTATCGATTCTTACACCATAACACAAAGTTGAATCTGCATTTTTCTCAAATTCAGTCCAAATCCAAACATAGTATCATTTTAAAATGTATTTCTTGAAAAAGCATGCATTTTTTTCTATAAGTCATTTAAAGGAAATAGCATTTTCTCTTATTAAGAAGGGAAAGTAGAAATTTATCTTTGGATAATATAAATTATGACCATAATTAAAGATTATATTTTTAATGGAATATTTACAACAAAAAATACATGAGAAGCACTGATGGAAAAAATGATTTTCACATTTAAAATCACTTCTAAATTTGCCATACAAATATGAGGAAATGATGTTCTAGAAGATTCTAAAGGGTGTCGGAGAGATTGTACATTCTTACAGACGGAATTCAGGCATTAAAATGAGATGAGGACACGTGGGCAGTTCTCGCTGGCGCAGACATGCAGCTATGCTAATGAGGAGATGCAGGTCAGGCCTGGGCAGGAGGCTATACTTTAAAGCTGGCCGCACCTTTGATAATAGAATCCCTACTTTTGGCAGCCCCTCCAGTGTGGTTTCCAGGACTCGTTTGTGCTTTTCGGCAAAGTGCACGTGACTGTTTCCATTGCTGGTGCTGTTTATTTACAGCTTTCCACAACATTACGTTTATTTACATTTAAATTGCTTTTTCAGCCATTGTGCAGTCCCACACGGTGGATTATAAAATTATTCGAAGATCATCATTCTTCCACGTTTATTAGCATCGAGGCAGTCAACCTGGGGGCCAGAAGCAGCAATGCCCTTAACGATTGGGAAGTACCTTCCTGAACACACACACCCAGCCGGCCCATCACACTCAGGCAGGCTGACGCTTTTCAGGAATCCATTAGAGATTTAAAAATGTATATAAATCAATATCGTCTACACCAGCCTCCACACCCTCTGGCTGGGCCCACTCTCCTGACCCAGCTAGGGTTTCTCTGAGGGGACGGTTCTGTTTCTTCTTCCCTAGCACCCTAAGACCCAGCGCTTTTCTGTTCTTCAAACCTCAGTCATACTAAATTGCGTCTCTAGGGCACTTTTCCTTTCATAAAGTCCTCTCGCATCCAACCTCTCTTAATCCTTGGGCATCTGGGTCTGTACAATCTCTGGTCCTGCTAGCCAGTCCCCTCTCCTCTTTATACCTGCAGAAGGAGGTCTGTATTTCTTCCCTCCTAACTACTGGGTTTTTAAAATAATCAGCTGCTGTCACCAAAGCTGTTAAGTAGGAGACTTGGTGTTGGGGGTGCCCACAGGACAATGTCTTGCGAGAAGCCTGGCTCCATCTCTTGTGCAAGTCTTCTCCCAGCCAGGAGCCATGGGCCATTCCTGATGTGTCGTTCCATCATCTGTGTGTATGTTAAAAGCATAAAATCGTGGGTTTTTTTCCCTCCGGTCATGCTTATCAGCTCTCTTCTCAGGCTCCCAGCTGAAGTCTGAGTCCAGGGCGTGATTCCTTCCTTCCTTCCAGACAGCAGCGAGATGAAGAGACGCCTGTGGACTTTTTCTATTTCATTGACTTCCAGAGACACAACGCTGAGATTGCCGCTTTCCATCTGGACAGGTAGGGTCGGGCCCCGTGGAGATGGCGTTGACTGCAAGGGCCAATCCCGATCAGGCAGGACCTCCCTGGCGTTTCTGCCTTCTGGCTCTTTATCCTCTTCATGAACCTCAGTGTTGCCTTCGAACCCAACACGTCCCATCTAACCCCATGGATTGGAAAACACAAGATCTTTGAATATAATGAAAAGAATAACTTACAAAGGAAATTAACCCTGCCAGGCTGCTCAGGCTGCCACCTTGGGCCTGACGTTGTCCTTTGCTCTCATTTCCTGATCTGAAAATGAGGAGAATGAGCCCACTCCCATTTATCCAAGGATTCTTAAGGTTGTGATATTTAGAAGTGAAAGCACATTCTTAACTTCCTAGCTCCTCCCATTTGCCTGTTATGGCTACTCAGGGTGTGGTCTGTGGACTGGCAGCCTGAGCACCACCCAGGAGCTTTTCAGAAATGCAGAATCTCAGCCTCGCCCTGGACCCACTGAGTTAGAGCCTGCATTTGAACAAGACCCCAGGTGACTCATCTTCACACTGAAGTATGAGAAGCTCTGACCTAGAACACAGCTTGGGTGGTCTGGCCAGGAGGCTTGATAGAATAAGGATTCTTTTTCCACCCCTTTAGATGTAGGTTTGCTCTGGGCACCGTCAGCTCAGCACTGCAGAGACCCCCTCAGCTGGGTTATGGTCAGGAATGCCGGTCAATTGCTAATTGGCAATCATGTAACTCCCTGACCATCCCTTAGATCTGAACAGGGCTCCCTCTCTTTCAGGATTCTGGACTTTCGACGGGTGCCACCAACAGTGGGGAGGCTAGTCAACGTGACCAAGGAAATCCTGGAGGTCACCAAGAATGAAATCCTGCAGAGCGTTTTCTTTGTCTCTCCAGGTAGAATACCGGCCAAAACACTATTCCGGGTCTAAGAACATGGTAGGCCAGTGTGGCCACTGTTACGTTCAGCAGTGGTCTGACCTCCTGCCTGTAGCACCATCCATTATTGGGAAGGGTGTATGCTGCCATCAGACACTCCCACCCTGGTCCACCTGCGCATCACACAAGATGAACGGGGGATGGGAAAGGGTTGTACGTGAGATGCTAACTAGCCGGGATGGGCACTGATCTACAATGCTGGCCTCCCTGGGATCAGATGTTCTTCGTTCAAAGAACATTCTAATCACATGGATGGGATGCAGTGAGGCTGGGTTCCACACTCTCTCTGCTATGAGACATTTGAAAATTGGTGCCCAGAATGCTCAGTTTAATAGCATTCATGAGCCCCTACATCTGGAAAGAGCAATGTTTTCTTCTTTTTCTGACTTTTCCCAAGCTGTGCATTCAGGGTTTCCCTTCCCTTTTAGTGGATTTCTTGGGGGCAGGAAGATGGCATGCCTCCAAGGTCCTTCTCTTACTCCCCCTCTCTCCTCCTCCCGACTCTAGCCAACAACGTGTGCTTCTTTGCCAAGTGTCCATACATGTGCAAGACGGAATATGCTGTCTGTGGCAACCCGCACCTGCTAGAGGGTTCCCTCTCCGCGTACCTGCCATCCCTCAACCTGGCCCCCAGGCTGTCTGTGCCCAACCCCTGGATCCGCTCCTACTCGCTGGCAGGAAAAGAGGAGTGAGTTGGCCCCCTGGCCACAATGCCATGCCCACGGGCCTGCAGCACCAAGGACTTGTGGCTAGCCTGGCTTTTGGACCCCAAAAGCTGCCTCAGTCTTCCTTTGCCTCATCTCATATTGATCCTGGGACCGGCTCTGTCTGATTTCTCCCTTTAGTTCATTTATTCAGTTATAAAGAGCCTACCATGTACCCAACGCTAGATGCTAGGGGATACAGAAATGAAAGACACGGGCTCTCCCCTCAAGAAGGTCCATGGCCGAGTCGGGCAGACAGACAAGTAGCCAGATTATGAAAACACAGTGCAACACTTGCTGTAACGCAGAGGGGCACACGAGGAGCCTGCTGGGACACCTGGTTCACCTGATAAGCCCTGTGATGCCAAGGACCTCATAGTTGTATCCTCGGGGCCTTGCACACTCCCTAGCACATCGTAGGTACTCAGTTAGTGTCAGTTGACTGACTGAATGGGTTCATGAATCCAGCCACCCCAATCGTGGTGGGAAGAGAAGTAATCAGGGAAGAATTTCTGGACATCTGACAGATCTTGAGAGACTTGTGCAGGCTAAGATTCCATCAGATGAAAAGGGACCGGGGCGGCATTCCAGGCAGAGGAGCACGTGTGAGAGAGAAATGACAGAGAATGGCTTATAGGGGGACTATGAATGGCTCAGAACTGGAGGGCCAGGGTCCAGGGCTTGGTGAGACAAGCTGCAGAGGAAGCAGGTGAGGGAACGCAGCCAGCCATTCCCCTGCTGCCCCGTCACCTCCCCTCTGGCACAGGGTATCGCAGCCTCAGTACAGCGCTCAGCAGAGAGGCTCAGGAAACGTGGTGAAAGGAGCCAGAATCTTCTCAGCACACGGCATCTGCAGCCTCCCATGTGTCTTTGCCAGGATCCTCCTGCAAGTCCCCAGCTACCAGCTGCATGCTGAGGAGCGGCCACTAGCCCAAGGCAGGATCAGGGAGACAGGGATTTGGGGGACAGGGGGAAGTGTGAGGAGGGCCCCAACACCTTGCCATCTTGGCTTTTCCAGCCCCAGGACTTCTTCTCCCCCTCAGGTGGGAGGTCAATCCACTTTACTGCGACACAGTGAAACAGATCTACCCGTACAACAGCAGCAACCGGCTCCTCAACATCATCGACATGGCCATCTTCGACTTCTTGATAGGTAGGTCCCTGTGCTCAGGGCATTTGGCAGAAGTGGGCTCTGCTGTTGGGCTGGCATTCTCTGAACTTGGGCAATAAGTTACAGTCTGGACCATGAGGACTGAATAACCCCGCACCTCCCACAGCCTCAGAAGTGGCAGAGGTCCCAGAGTTCAGAAGTTAACATGGTCCTCTCCTGGGAGGGGACATCACTCAGGCATACAACCCTGCCGAAGGCCCGAGCAGGCCTCAGATTGGGAGTTATCTGTTCCATTGACAGAGTGAGGGGAAACCGGGGAGGAAGGGAGGAGGGAGCACAATGAATGTGTAGCAGCGGGAGGGCCTAGGGAAGGGAGTGGTCATCCCACCTTCAAGTCCCTCGGGGACCAGGAAGGCTAGGGAGAAAGCAGATAGGAAGGCGGCCATCACACACAGGCTTAGATCTGAAGTCAGACAGCGCCCACCCAGAGCGCTCTCATGCCATCTGGGAAGGTAACCTGTGTCCTCTTACTGTACCCGGGCCTCAGTTGAAGAGCTCGAGTGAGGAAAGCCCACCTTGACGTGGGCATTCGAACCCCTGGCCGAGGAGTCGGGGTGGGAGGGTGGTGAGTCTTAGATTTGAACACAGGCCATAGTAGGGTTTGCTTGCTTGGTTAGCTTCCTTCTCCCTCTGCAACTTCACTCATAACCCTGAGGAAATGACAGCCTGTGGCCCTGGGTTCAGACTCATCTCTGAACTGCAAACAGGCCTCCATGCCCTGGAGAGAACTCAGAGGTAGGGAGCATCTGTCCCCTGGCCTATGGGCCCCAGTACCAATCTCTCCTCGACAGGAAATATGGACCGTCACCATTATGAGATGTTCACCAAATTTGGGGATGATGGGTTCCTTATTCACCTTGACAATGCCAGAGGGTAAGTGACCCCACACTCCCCTCTCCCAGCCCTACTCCTTGTGCAGCTGCTCAGGGGAAACCAGAGGCCCCGAGGATGAGGGGCATCCACGTTCCGTCTCCTAACCGTACTCACTCCATTTCCTTTTTCTCTTCATCTTTGCTGAGTACCACTTGATTGTCCTCCAGCCTAAGAGCACTAGTGAAATAGACTGAAGTTTTCCATAATTTTTTTACTAGATGGTTCACTCCTGGAGATAGAGCACATGGCTTATCCTCAGTGTCTGGTCCTCTGTGGTTGATGAAAGAATGAATGGATGATTGCTTGGTTTTAACATCTTTGAACAGAGGCTTCTGTAAGCTGATTGAGGAGGGGGGCTGGACAGGCAACTGCCGTGCACCCCGGCATTTACTCCAAGCTGTGATTCAAAAAAGGCTGAGCTGGAGGAGAGAAAGAAAAACCACTGAGGAGGAAGAGGCTCCTTGCCACCCCTGAAAGCCTATTTCTCTCCTAGGTTTGGACGACACTCCCATGACGAAGTTTCCATCCTCGCGCCGCTGTCCCAGTGCTGCAGGTAAGCTTGCAGCTCAAGGGCAGGTCACAATTGTGACTTCATCCTGCTCGCAACCAAGCTCTGAAGGTTTTGTTCAGTTTTCACTGGTCTAGGACGCGGGTGGGTAGAATGATAGGAACTACCTCACTTCTGATACTACAAGGACAGAATTTTCCCTAGCAACATCTCAGATTCTTTCATCCTTCAGCATACGATGACTTAGGATCTGATCTTTTAAACTTTTCAATCGCCAACTTTAATCTTTAACCCACTCAGATAATCACCCACTTCTGCAGAACCTGACAGTCTTTGATATGACTAATCAGGCCTCTGCTTTGCCCAGCACCCATATAAGCTCATAAATATTACTACTTGATCATCATCTAAGCAAAATCCTGATTAGTCCCATAAACCTGTCAGATTGAAAGGAAGTACTTAGACCTGGGCCTGGCCACCATTTCTCTAGAGAATCTCTAACCTACTTCCATCCAGTGTTTTAGCCAGGCTTGTAAAACTGTCCAGCTGCTCAGCTGCAGTATCCAGCTAAAAATATGTGATTCACAGCTAACAAAACCATCTCATTTGTTTCCAGCTGGAAAACTCAGCACAGACCCTGAATTTTCTTTATCCACATCTTAGGTTACTTTAAACGTGCTTCCCTCCTTGCCTCCCTTCCTCTCCTCCTGAGTAAAACAGGCAGTAGTTGTTCATGACAAAAGGCAGACAATTAAGCTGCTTATACATCTAAGTCCAAGTCAGATTCCCACAGAAAAATCAGAATCCTGAAGATCGTCCCACTCCTTTTCCATCCCTCTGACTTTAGAATCTGACAGAGAAATGTTACAAAGTTGGCAAGAAATAACTTGGAAGCTAACAGTACCTACGGCTTTTGAGATGACAAACACCATCATCACTTCACTTCTAGAAACTTCTCTCATTAGTTTTAAATCTCCTTGAAAAGTAAGATTACTTTTCACTAAGTAATGACTACGTGACTAAGTATCACTTCTGTTTTGATTCCCTTAGCACTGTCAGATGCATCCGGGTCCAGCATCACTACTGGGTGGCAGGACAACGATTAGAGTAAAAATGGCTCAGCAGGCCCTTGACCAAAAGGCAACTGGGCAAAGGACTGCAAAATAATGGATGTCATCTTTTATTCATTCCCTTTTTACCTGGTTTTCATTACTATGTGCTTAAGACACTGGGGAAGAAGGCTCTCAGAATGTCAGCTACCACAGCTGTCTGTGGGGAAAGCAGCAAGTTCAGGCAAGTTCTTTTCTTTACGTGTACTTATTTGGTTCCTATGACTTTGTCCTTCCAGGATAAAAAAGAAAACGCTTTTGCACCTGCAGCTGCTGGCCCAGGCCGACTACAGACTCAGTGATGTTATGCGGGAGTCACTGCTGGAAGATCAGCTCACCCCTGTCCTCACAGAGCCCCACCTCCTTGCCCTGGATCGGAGACTCCAAATCATCCTAAAGACAGTGGAGGGTTGCATAGAGGTCCATGGAGAGCACAGTGTCATAGCCAATGGCCCAGCAGAACAGTCGGCCCCAGACTCTGGCCAGGCTAACTTGACAAGCTAGGGGCTGGACAAGTCCAAGCTCCAGGAAGCTACACCTGGAGCCAGCAGCGGACTCTCGAGGGTGAACCTCACTCATGTCCCCCATCAATGCTGCAGGTTCTGAGTCATGAGCTCAGACAGCAGGGAGGACACTGGGATGATTCTAGAAGAGCAAAAGAAATGGGATCCACTGATCTTTCTTCCTTGGTGCACTGCATCTCCAGTGGACTGCCTTGGCTGCTTCTTTCCCAGACAGCACTGCTTCATCAAGAACACAGAACATCTCCTGAGCCCACTGGGAAATCTGGATATGGCTCAGGTTTAGAAGCGTTGTTCCCAGAAGAGAGTATTAACTGTAACAAATAAAAGGACATCAAGTGGATACCTAACTGACCTCCAAATGCTTATTATATCTACAAGGATAATGCCCAATCCAGATAAACATCTGGCATATCGCTAGCACAGAAAAAACCTAAAAATGGTCTCAAACTGGTTCAAAGTAGACCTCACACTTCCTACTTATATTCCAATCACTGTAGCCCAATCTGAATAATTCCTACTGACTGGTCCTAAAGTAATTTCTCAGAAATATTACAAGAGGTAAAAAATAATATAAGCATTTGCTCAAAATATCAGAAAAAGGATGTTTTCATCTGAAGAGTATTTAATATCAATTGAAATAACATCAAGTATGTCAAGAGTAGCATCCAGTAACAATGAAAACAAGCGTAGTCTTGAACGTGGCACAGTGCAGGAATGGGCCCAGCAGGTGCATGAGCCTAGACTAAGGCAGGAGAAACGCCAGGGCCTACCACTGCTCACAATCCTCCTTCCCATAAGACCCCAGAAATTGTCCCCACCTGCCCCCGGGAGAAGCAAGAGGCTATCTGGAGAGGTCTGACACTCTGGACACCCCTCTCCTCAGTTGCTTGCTCAAAAAGGACTAAATCAAGTTGCCTTTCCCAGCCTCCCTTAAAAGTGGATACATCAGGGACTCCGTCTCCTCAGCCTTCTCCCAACTGACTTACTGAGAATGAACAACTTTAACAGGAGACTTGGTTTCTTATCCCATAATTCATGACAGAAAACACAGATGACAGAAATGTATTCATACTATGGAGTAAGTCAGTCAACCAGTAAAAATTCCTGATTTTATCAGATCAACTTTTCTGATAAAGGCCCGAGGGCAGTAGAAAGTTTTCACTAAGGAGGGTACAAGGTCAAGAACTAGAGATGTCACCCAAGACTTCTGCACTGTGTCCGAAGACAGCCTTGATAGGACAAACAACAAGGGTATTTCTGACGCACCCTAGTACCCCACATGACTGTGACACTGCCCCTGAACCTTATGTTTCCATGATAGTAACATCCCTTCATTCAATGAGCTCTTACCATGTGCGAGAATCCACACACAGGGTTCCAATCCTCCTGAACACATGGATAAACTCCCCTACTTCCAATGTACACAGAAAACTAAGGCTCAGAGAGATTAACTACAATCACCCAACTGAATGACTTAAACCTACTGCAAAGTGTTCTTTCCATAGTAATACAAAAACTCAACAGTATCCCACCCAATTTATTTTTTTTATATTTGTTTGCTTAAAAAAAAAAAACAAAAAACAGAGGATTCGCAGATGTTAGCACAGGGCTGCTCTCCCTCACAAATAAACAAAACAAACAAACAAAAAGAACCCAGGGCCAGCGCTGGTGGCCTGGTGGTTAAGTTCAGCATGCTCCACTTCAGCGACCCAGGTTTGGTTCCCAGGCACAGATCTACTACCACTCACCCATCAGTGGCCATGCTGTGGCAGCAGCTCATACAAAAAGAGGAAGATTGGCAACGGATGTTAGCTCAGGGCCAATCTTTCTCAGGAAAAAAAAAACAAAAAACAAAAAAACTCTTTTAAAGAGGAACCTTAATAACAGAGACTTCCGTTAGGAAATGACTACCATAGCTCAGGGCTTCTTCCCACGTCATGAACTGAGTCTCCTCCTTCAGGCCAGTATTTCCCTTTGGAGGAGGGACCCAGTAATTACACGCAGAGGAATGGGAGAAAAATATTCAAGCAAAGCATTCAAAGAATAGCACAAATTAGTCTGGAACTTGCAAATTGCAGAGTCTCAGGAAGGTAAGTTATAGCTCCATCTTAAACCCAGCCATTTCCATGACAATACACTGGTTTTCAAATGGCCTATTAATAAAAATGTTGGTGTACTTTACAAACTGAGAGTAACAGAATTGAGTTTGACCACAATATGTGGGGTAACTAGATAACGAATTATTCACTTAAACATTCCATTGATTTTTCACTAATAACAAAATTAAGACTCATTTATCACGCATACCAGAAAACAAAAGATTCCATTCTTGGAACTATCAGTTTCTTCCAAGACGTTCATTTTGGGCCATTGACAGCTTCCCATGACATAAAAATTCTCCTGTTTCCATGTAAGAATTTTCCATGTTACTACAGAAAGCAAACTAAAAAATGAAAGGGAACTGTACGGTACACAAGTTGGTGAAGAGTTTGGAGGAATTCATTTTATCTTTCCCAAAGGTGAGTAGGACAATATGAGTTGAACACTGTAAAAAATACAGTTGATTCTCTTATTCATGATTCGTGATAGTTTTATAGTCTCTAAAGTCACCACAGGCACTGAATTAGCAGATACTGAACAATTTGTTCCTAGAGGAAACACAGAGTTAGGTTCCTGTGAGCCTGTGGTTACATTTTTGTCAACCAATTAATACATAATCTTGTTTTATGTGTAAAGGTGTGTTAAAGACACCTTATTTAACATATATTTGTTAATTCAATGACATTGAACTTCTGGCCAACAGCACTGTAACTCATGCCTGTAAGAACCTGATTAGATACACTTATTTTCCCCATAAGGCACATAAGGAATGCCAGCCAGCACTTCAGCACTACATTTGGGGGCCATTTTAAACAGTGAAATCACCAACAGAAACCACAAAAATGCAAAAAAAGCGGCACTAAAGAGACCATGAAAAGGACATTTGATTATAGTGTGAGAGCCAAAACAAGGCAGAGCGTCACCTTATTTGAACTCAGCTGGGCACATGTGTGACGGGAGACTCAAATTCTTTGCCACTCCACTCATGTCACAGAATGTTTGTAGAAGCGCTGCAAGTATTGATTTTGGGGTTACAAATTCGCAAAATTGACAAATACAGCATCCGTGAACAATGAGGATCAACTGTACCTCATTTTGAAATTAACAGTAACTCGTTTTGAAATTAACAATGATAAAAAAGCTCTCCATCTAGTGGTGACTTTTAAAATCACAAAGCTACTAAAGTCACAGCTCTGAGCTTGTGTCAATAAACAATTTTAACTTCATATGTACACAACAATACTGATTTCTATGTAGAAGTTCCATAGGGTAAGAAGAGAGAGATTTAAGATTCCCCCCTTTTAAATTCTCCTATCTACAGCCTTTATTGAGAGCTATCATGATAGATACTTTGGGGGCCATATTAAAGGGTGATCTAGTCATTGCTTCTCAATATTGTTTTAGCTCACCTAGAAATACACTGCCAGGGCCTAAAAAAAGAAAAACAAGGTTCAGCTATTAATTTGTGGTTGGAGATAAAGCAGCATTAAGAAAACTGACATCATGCTACTTCAAGTTTAAAATGTCACTACTTAAGTCATTAAAAAACAAAAAAATGATTCAATATGAGCCAATGTTTTAGAGGGAGAATTAAACTATAAGCAGTACAGTCAACAATAACTAAAGAAAAATTTCTTTTTCTTTAGTTATATTCTGTTGTGACTCTAAAGGTTCCAACTCCAGTGGGTTGAGGGAAAAGATTACTGAAAGTGGACAGATGCAGGTGTTACAAAGCAGCATAAATTAAAGAATGTTCTAGAATACAACATATCTCCAACTTCACTGGATGTAAAGAAATTAATACCAATATACTAATGAATACAACTTAATTATCTCACTGCTCAGATATGAGGAATAAACATCAGAAATAAGACTTTATATATTCAAAATATATAAGCATACCTAAATATCTAAATACATATATTAAACTCAACCCAAAGAGTATGCTGACCCAGAAATGATGTTTCTCCATTAAGTCTGGGAGAGTTCCAAGGCCAGAGAACCAGTTTTGTCTTCAATAAAAAGGAAATCTTTGCCTTTTGATTTAAACTTTTCCTTCCATTACTTGGTAAACAGATCTGCTACATCTCAATTACCCTTTAAGCAAGGTTTTTAGATTCACTCTTTGACAAACTAACTTGGAAAACATTGAAAACAAACATATTACTCTCGCAAAACACTGATCCCATAATTTGCTTTCGATTTTCATTTTCACCCACCAGATTATGAGATTCTGAGGGAGAGGGAGAAGGAGGAGAGAAGGAAAGGAGAAAGGGAAGAAAAACTGATTCATTTAAGAATTTAAATTATTCAATCCTTTTTTATTACTTGACCTACCGTTAAGACAATCTATAATAAAAAGAAGAGAGTATATTAGCACACACAGTATAATGAGACTAGTAACCAAGAAACAATACAAAATGGTCCTTTGGCCATCTATACTTTCTAGAGCAGTAGATCTCAAAAACTCACTTACCAAGCCCAGAAATAATGACTTCTAAAGCCCTGGATATCAACTATGACAAATTATGCCAATTGTGATTTCTCACATATACTCAGATTGCACAAAGATAAAGCTTTACATGTGATAATTTTGAAATTTAGACTTAAAATTTCTTAGATTAAAAACCACAAAAGGGAGTAAACAGCAAGCCAAATGATTTAAGAGCAACACTTAGAAAGTATTATACGTATCTAAATATACATGAAAATGATTATATACATATATGAAACTGCAAATTTACGGCATTCTAAATAATTCACTTAAGTACAGTTTGGCATTTAAACAAAGATCAAATCAAGCTTTAAGCTAATAAGAACATAATTTTTATTTTTAATTTTTTAAATATAAAAAGGTAGCTAAACATAAAATACAGAGCAGAAAACCCTCATCTAATACAGATTTTGAAAAATAAAAAATTTGTAATAAGGTGGCTTTTTATCCCACACTAAAATGTAAATAAAACCTCTTTCCCAGATTTATACTTCAAACTTAGTAACCACCTAAAAACTGTTCATATCTATGAAAAGAAAACCTACCATGACCAATTCAATTGCCTGGGAAAGGGTAGGAGAGGGGATTAATAATCAGAGCCAGTTGCACACAGATGGAAAAATGCTTGCAGTCACTCCCAAATATAACCCTACATTTATATATATAAATCACAATGAAAATAAAAGTGGCCACATTATGGAACTGTGAAATTTTGTTTAAAAAAATAATAGTAAAAATAACCTGCT